TCTACCTTTCCTATCTCCTCTGAATCTCACACTATCTTCTCATACCCTCTCTACCTTCCTTCTCCTTCTTTGTCTCTCTGTCTGTCTATCTGCCTATCTGTCTCTGTCCCTGGCCTTCCACCACTTTCCACGTTTATTCTTTCTCTGACACACTGGGAGCACCTAGCGGAAGTTATATAAAGTTGAATCACAGGAAACATTTGACTTGCAAATGACTTCACTTACAGAAACATCTCACCAAATTGTCAGTTTCCCACAACAATGTCAAGTCTGATTATTGTCTAGAGGTGTGAACATAGTGCTGTGATACAGCCCATAGTCTGGTGCTGTAAATACTCAAGTTGGAACTTAGCTCCATCTCACCTAGATGCCTGTGTAGAGTGATTTAAGGAAGCCAACTCCAGATTCTTTACATTCAGAGATAATCCTTAATTCATAAGATTGAAGATGACCAGTGCAAGCAAATAGTCTGAGTTCAGTACTCAATACTAGCTTTATTTATCTATTTTTCTGCCTCTACTAGGATTTGAACTCAGGGCCTCACTTGCTCAAGGTTGGAGCTCTACTTCTTGAGCTCTAATCTTTTTTTTTTTAATTTTTGGTGGTTAATTAGAAATAAGGGTCTCATGGATTTTTTTTGCCCAAGCTGGCTTCAAACTGTGAATCTCAGCCGCTCAAGCTAGGCTCACAGGCATGAGCCACAGCCACTCAGCTCACCTTTATTGTGACCAAGGGCTTTGCCCCATGTTAAGGTAATTTCAGACATCAGTTATAGATGAAAAGGTTCTGTTCTATGGGTTCATTTTCTGGAAACTTGCCTTCTGAATTCATGTTTTAGAAACCATTAGCATGTTCTTCCCATCTTCCCACAAGTAAGATAAGCACAGCAATACTACTATTTGCTATTCATCAACAAACTTGATAATAATTTGACACTCTCGAACAGCTTAGTTTTGCACCAATCATGGAGATGAAGGCAAAGTTAGGGCTCTTTTTCATTCAGACATTTTGGCAGCTATAGTATGAAGGAACCAAGGGTCTTTAATTCTGT